TTAACATGATAAAGGTGCTGTTTCAGGTCTGCAAAAAAAGTGAATAAATGGTGTGGGGACAACTGGACAGCTATTTGAAATAAAAAAGATGGTTTCCTGGGTCAGATTTTATATAAAAATAAATAAGTAGGTCAGTGATTTAAATGAGGAAATGAAATACATAAAAGGACTAGAACATGGAAGATTTTTTTTACATAATCGTCGAGTGGGGAAGGAATACAAAACTCAGAAGCCATGAAAGATTGGCTAAAGTCAACTACATGAAAAATCCACATGGCAAAAAACAACGTGAGCAAAGTCAGAAGACAAACAGAGGGAATACTGGCAACTCATAACGCAGAGCCAGTTTCTTAAGGACCAAAGAGCTCCCACAATTTAATAGGAAAGAAACCAATAAGCCAACAGAAAAATTAGTGGAGGATGTGAACACACAATCTTCAGAAAAGGACAAACAATGAACGCTCCAACATATGAAAAAATGCAAAAATGCTCAATATCTTACTCAACAAATTCCAAGTAGCAACCACTAAAAAATTACCCAAAACATAGTAAGAGACACAGGGAATTAAACATCCATTTAACACACAAGAACAAACCAATAGAGGAAGAAAGAGAAAAAAAGACATGTAGGAAAACAGAAAAACAGCAGACATAAATTCTACCTTTTCCGTAATCACCTTAAAGGTAAGTGGATCAAACCCTCCGCTCAGCAGCAGAGATGGGCAGAACAGATTAAAAACACGATCCACTACATGCTGTCTATAAGAAACACTTTGAATTCAGAGATATAACGAAAGTAACAGGATGGGAAAGATAGACCACGCCAACCAGAAGCAAAGCTACCCTAATATCATACAAAGAGACCTGAAGACAAAACCTGACACTGGAGACAGAGAAGCCTGTCATAAAAGGGGCAATCAATTGGGAAGAAATAACAAGTATAAACACATGTGCACTTAACAACAGGGCCCAAAATACATGAGGCAAAACCCGACAAATGAAGGGAGACAGATGGTGCAACAGTACTAGTTGGAGATGTCAGTGCCTCACTTTCGACCGCGGACAGAACATCTAGACCGAAGATCAACAAGGAAAGAGAAGACTTGAACGACACTACAGACCAGCTCGACCTACAGACACGTCCGTGGAACACACAGAACATTCTCCAGGACAGAACAGACGTTAGGCCATAAAATTAGTCTCAGATTCCAAAGGACTGAAATCATACAAAACCTGTTCTTTGGCCAAATGGAATTAAATCAAAAATCAAATAACAGAAGGAAATTTGGGAAATTCAAAAGTATGTGGAAATTAAACAACAAACTCCTATCTAATCAATCAGGAAAAGAAGAAGTCACAAGAGAAATTAGAGAATACTTTGAGATAAAGATGAAATAGCAGAGCAAAACTTAGGAGATGATGCTAAAGCAGTGCTTAGATGAAAAGATATAGCTGCAAACACCTAATTCAAAGGAAGACACATCTCAGATCCACAGGCTCATCTTCCATCTTAAGAAACTAGAAAAGGAGAGAAAACTAAACTCAAATAATAAAGATTAGAGTGGAAATTAATGAAATAAAGAATGAAAAGTAATAGAGAAAATCAACAAAACCCAAAGTTGGGCTTTGAATAGGTCAATAAAATTGATAAACCCTTAGCTAGACTGATTAAGAAAATAAAAAAAGAGAGAAAAGGCTCAAATTTGTAAAAACAGGAATGAAACAAGAGACATTACTACCAACCTTACAGAAATAAAAAGAATTATACAGGAATACTATGAACAACTGTGTGTCAACAAATTACAACCAATAACCTATGAAATGGACAAATTTCTAGAAATATACAATATACAAACTACTGAAACAGACTCAAGAAGGAACACAAAACCTAAACAGGTCTATAATAAGTAAAGACAATGAATCAGTAATTTTAAAAAAAAGCTTCCCACAAAGAAAAACTTAGGACTAAATGGTTTCACTGGTGAATTCCACCAAATGTTGAAAGAATTAACACCAATCCTTCAAAAACTCTTGCAAAAAACAGAAGAGGAGTGAACACTTCCCAACTCAATCCATGAGGCCAGTAGGACCCTGATACCAAAGCCAAAGACATCACAAGAAGAAAACCATATCTCTTATGAATCGAGAGGCAAAATCCTCAGGAAAATACTAGCAAACCAGGTCAATGGAATAGCAAAACACTAACAAACCAAATGCAGGAACATAGAAAAGGACGACACATCACGACAAGTGGGATTTATCCCATGAATTTGCAAGGGTGGTTCAACCTATGAAAAGCAATCGACACGGTAACCACATCAACAGAATGCAGGACAAAGCCACACAATCACCCACAGACGTAGAAAGGGCACTTGACAAAACCCAACACCCTTCACGACAAAAACACCAACAAATGAGGATTAAAGGGGCCGTTCCTCAACCTGAAAAAAGCATCTACACCACCACACTCAACGGTCACAGCTGAAAGCTCTTCCCCTCTGATCGGGATCAGGACCACGCTGCCCCTCCCACCATGGCTCTTTGACACCGAACCAGAGGTTCCAGCCAGGGAGGCCAGCAAGAGAAAGAAAGAAAGAAAAGGAATCCAAACTAGAAAGGGAGAAATGACACATTTCTGTTTGCAGATGACATGACTGCGTGTACAGAAAATCCTAAGGAATCTACACATACAACTATTAGAATAAATAAGTTCAGCAAGGTTTCAGGATACATGACCAACATACAGAAATCAGTTGTATTTCTATACATTAGCAATAAACAATCCAAAAATGAAATTCAGAGAACAATTTTGTTTACAGTAGCATCAAAAAGAATAAAATACTTAGGAATAAATTTAACAAAATAAGTGCAAAACTTGTACACTGAAAACTACAAAACACTGTTGAAATAAACTAAAGACAGAAATAAATCAAAAGATACCCCAAGTTCGTGAATGAGACAGTTTAATATTAAGATGACAACACTTTCCAAAGTGATCTCTGGATTCAACAGCCCCTCTCAAAGTCTAAGCCACCTTTTTGCATAAATTGATAAGCTGATCTTAAAATTCATGTGGAAATGCAAAACAATCTTGAAAAAGAACAAAGTTGGAGGACTCACTTTCAGATTTAGATACTCACCGCGGAGCTACATTAATTGAGGCATTGACACGAGGGAATACAGGTCACGGGGATACAACTGAGTGACCAGATACAAACTCGTACATTTATGGTCAACTGATGATCAATAAATCAATGGGAAAATAATCATCTGTTCAACAAAGAGTCCTGAGACAGCTCGACATCCACATGAAAGGAGGAAGCTGGACTCTACCTCACACGCACACAAAAATTAACTCCAAATGGATCAAACACCTAAATTTAAGAGCTGAAACTATACAACTCTTAGAAGAAAACACAGGGGTACCCCTTCATGACCTTGCATTAGACAACGGTTGCTTAGAAAAGACAAGAAAAGCACAAGGGACAAAAGAAAAACAGATATACTGGAGTTCATCAAAATTAACAACTTTTGTGCTTCCAAGGACACTGTCAAGAAAGTGAAAAGACAGAATGGGAAAAAATATTTGCAAATCATATAAGGGCCTAGTATCCAGAACACATAAAGAACTCTTACAACTCAAAACAAACAATTCAATTAAAAATGGGCAAAAGATCTGAATTGACATTTTCCCAAAGACATACACATGGTCAATAAGTACATGAAAAGATGCTCGATATCATTAGTCATTAGGAAAATGCAAATCAAAACCACAATGAGGCCACTTCACACCCATTAGGATGGCTGAAATTAAAAAGATAGTAACAGGGGCCGGCCCTGTGGCATAGTAGTTAAGGTTGTGTGCTCCACTTTGGCAGCCCGGGGTTCACAGGTTCAGATCCCAGGCGTGGACCTAGCACCACTTGTCAAGCCAAGCTGTGGAGGCATCCCACATAAGATAGAGGAAGATTGGTACAGATGCTAGCTCAGTGACAATTTTCCTCACCAAAAAAAAGGTAGTAACAAGTGTTGGCAAGAACATGGAGACTGGAACCCCAGGCACAGCTGGTGGGAACATAAGGTGGTAAGGCCACTGTGGGAGACAGATCCACAGCTCCTCAGAAGGGTAAACGCAGCATTACCATACGACCCAGGAATTCCACTCCTAGAGATAAAAACATACGTCCACACAAAGACTTGGATGCAAGCGTTCGTAGCAACCTTCCTCATGATAGCCAAGAGTGCAAACAACCCAAATGTCCACATCTACAGATCAAGAATGGGATGTCCACACATGGAGTCTTGTTGGGCAACGAGGAAGGAAGTTCTGGCACATTCTCCAGCACAAACGAACCTTGGAAACACTGTGCTGAGTGAAAGAAGCCAGACACAAAAGGCCACGTGCTGTCATGATTCCATCCATACAAAACGTCCAGAAAGACACGGTAGACCTGGAGGCCAGGGGGAGACTGCGGGGGGGGAGGGGGGGGGTGATGACAGGTTCTAGACCGGACAGCCACGGGGGCGCACAGCACTGCGAACGCACCAATGCCCGCGGGCTGGACGCCTAAAGCAGGCGGCTGTCACGTACTCAGTTACATCTCAATAAAGTGAGTGGAAAACGCAGAGCAAGGGCCTTCTCTGCCGTCGGACATGCTCTCGTCACCAACATGTTCCAGGAGCTGGAAATGCAGGCGCGACAGTGTGGGGGGTCCACTTCCCTTTGTGTTTGGGTTAAAAACAGGAAGTACAGAAACATGTGGGTGTCCTCAAGCTCCTCGAGTGGCTGCCCCTGGGGAGGAGGCGGAAAATAGGGTGTGGGGGCCACACACACGTTCCAAGTGCTGAGCCGTGTATACATTCCCTCGACTCTGAACCACGTCACAAAACACACGGACGCCCCACTGTGGACACGGCTGCCCCATTCAACACCCAGGCTCCAAGGGCCTCTGAGGCAGGCCAGACCTGTACCCTAGATGACAATGGCCAGCCCCAGCAAGGAGAGTCCATACCTCTGGGGAATTTTAATTAGAATATGCACCATTTCCTTGAATTAAATATAAGCAACCATGGTGGCCATGGTTACTGCCTACACCTGCGTCTGCTCTCCCATCCTAGTGCGCTGGTGGAGGGAGATGAGAAGGGGACGACCAGAGGGGCCCACAGCACACCTGGCCCAGCCCTCTAATTCAGTGCATAGTTAAACTGGTTTGCAAACTTCTCGTGCTTCTTCTGATCCATCTGGTTCATGGCTGTCACCACCCTCTGCACGGCTGCCCTGTGGGGAAAGCAAAGCAAGACACGATCAGGGAGGCGCTGGGCAGGGCCGGGCTCCCGAACACGGCCTGGTGTGGATCTAGTACCCGTCCTGGGGTGGGCGACACAGCTTGTAGTCGGCCAGAGTCTACCCATCCAGAGCCAGAAACCACAGTGGACGGCTCTGCCCCTGAAGGTGGGCTTGGCCATGCCCTGGGCTTCTCCCATCGCCTCCCTGAGTCCTGCAGGCAGTCCTAGGACCCCCCAGTCCTGCCAGCATCAGGTTGTACCCCAGAATGAGGGCCCAGCCTGCCCAGCGACCAGGCGGGGGGTGGCGTGCAGGCAAACGCAGTTAGGAAGCACCGATTCAGACTCGGCCCAGCTCTTGCCCAGCTGCACACAGAGCGCTGCTGCCAGGTCGGGGCAAATACTGGGAACATGCAGCAAGAAGACACGCACGAGCAGCTCCAGTGCGTCTCACCGCCTAGCTCGGCTGCTTGAGGGCCCTGGACCCAGCAGGTCCCTGTGCCCGGGAGGAAGCTGCTGAAGCCACGAAGCAGGGATGCCCCTTGTCCTGGAGCGCCATGGACCGCTGGGCATTGCTCTGGGGCTCGACCGCCCTGTGAGGGGTCGGTCACTGTGGCCCTCCTGCAGGGAGAGCCCCAGCCACACGCTGCAGCGAGCAGCCAGACTTTGGGCCCCGTGGAGGAAAAGTGGAGGCCGCTTGGCGACATTCCTCTGGGCGTTAGCACCCAGCAGGCCCTTCCTTGGCTGATCCCAGAAAACCAGCTCTATGCCGGGCTGGGCCGGGCCCTCCTCTGGACACTGATGGACAGGGCAGGCCAGCAGTGAGGGGCTGGTCCATGGGCTGTGGGGCCCCATGTAGGTGCCAAGGGATCTTCCCTCCTGTCCAGCCCCACTCAGGCTGGGCACACGGCAGTGACGTGGCCAGGAGGGCAGGAGGGGCCTCGTCTGCCGGGTGAGCTGAGCTGAGTGCCCTCCGGGGTCCTGGCGGGAAAGCTGCCTCAGGAGCCAGCCTAAGGAGCCAGTGCCCTCAGGGTCAGGGCACGAACCTGAGGAGGGAGACCGTGGCTGTGTGGTTTCTAAGCAGGTGGCCTACCCACCTCTAGCCACACCGTGAACGCGGCAGGCACCTCTGGCCGACCCCGGTGGACAGGCAGTGGGGATGCTGGGCTGGTGGCCTCTCTGCTCTGGCCTGCCGAGTTCCCACGGGCCAGGCTGGTCCGGGAAGATCCAGCCGACCCCTAACCCCCAGAGCCAGGCTTGGAGCAGCACAAGGCACACCTGCCCCTGGTGGCACCGGCTGAGCGTGGCTGGGGCTGCAACCCCTGCCCTGCAGCATCAGACATAACTGCCCTTGCTGAGGTCACCATGTGGACACCTCTGGGCACTAACCACGAGGGGCCAGCCTGGCCAGCACCCATCCCTTCTGGGTCAGCCAGGGAAGGGAGAGACTTGGGGCTGGCTCTCCTCCGACCACTGGGCCGTGAGTGCACGCTGGCTGGCCAGGGGAGCCTACATGGGAAGGTGTCCTTCTGTCCCCCTGGGGGACGGCTCCTGGCTCCTGACGGGCCTACAGCTGGCTGGGAGCATCTGTCCTGACGGCCCAGTGATCACCGGGAGAAACGTGCGGCAGAAGGGGAGCCAGAGAACGCCTCGGAGCAGGGCCGACTTCCACCCAGCACCCCGAATCCAGGGGCTGGGGGGCACTCGGCAAGGGGCCCTTACTTGGCGAAGACTTTCTTGGAGATGCGCGCACGGGCGGTGTCAGCCTGCCGCTTCAGGTCGGTGAGGCCAGGGTGCTTCTTCCTCTTGCCTTTGCCTCTCCCGCTGGCCCTGGATGCGCCGAGGTCCACACCCGTGGCTGCCTCCACGTCCCTCATAAACTCCGGGTCCTGCCAGTCTGCAGACAGACCCCAGACCTCAGGAAACCCTGTACAGTCAGGGCGCCTCTCGCCTGAGCCCCGGCCCTCCCTGACGCTGGCTGAGGGCAGGGCTGAGCTCCTCCCCACCTGCCCGCCCGTGCCCTCACAGGCCGGGGAGGAGCCGGGGGGAGCCCGGAGGCCATTCCTGTGCATCCACTGACCTCTCAGGCAGGAAGGCAGCCAAGGGGGGTGGCTGGGGGACGGTGACACCCACAGGCTGCTTCCCAGCCTCCCAGCTGGACTGTGTCCCGCCAGAACCCCAATCGTGGCCGCCAGACCCGACTGCGGGCTGGAGGTTGTGCAGCAGAGGCAGCCACGGCTGAGGGGCAGGGTGGCCGGGCTTTCCTTTTTGTTGGTCCAAAGACTACTTGGCCACAGGCCTCAGCAATGAGGGCATCAGCACACCCTGCTCTTCCTGGCCGTCACAGCCCCGGCCCTGTGGGGCAGCTAGAGACCGTGCTCTGAGGGGAAATATCACCCAGCCCCGCAGAGCCTGGCCTCGCCAGCCCCGGGGTGCAGCACAGCCAGGCCAGTGTGCTCATCTGCCAGGACCGACAAGGCATTAACTGTCTAAACGGGGTGGCAGGGGGGCTCCCCGCCTAGGGGGCACAGGCCCGGGGTTCCAACCCTGCCCTGGCAGCTCCTTGCTGTCTCAGGGTCTGCTTCTGCATCCCTGGCCGGCACTGCTCTGCCTCCAAAAGGCTGAGCAGGGGTCCATGAGACACGGTGTTGGTCCAGCCCGGCCATCTCAGGAAGGCCACCGAGGTCAGGGATGTGACAGCACAGCATCTCCCTGCGCCCAGACCTACGGACACTGACCCTGGCTTGCAGAAGGCTGCTGGACAGGCGTCACACCGATGGCGCCCACCACGCAGACAGGAAGCCCACAGGCCGGGGGCAGAGGGCCCATACAGCGAGGGCAGGAGCCACGCGCCCCAGACAGACAGATGGCGAGGCCACCCCAAGCTGATTTTTTGAAGTGAAGGAATACGGGGCTGCACAATTCAGATAGAAGAACGATTAATCCAAGATTAAGGAAAACTGTCTAAACAGTTTATCTCCCAATAATAAGAAGGCGTCACAGTTTGGGATCCCAGTGAATGGAGCAATTGTTTAAACACAACGGAAAAACGCCGGCACCCAGTGGAGATGGAATGAGCATCTCAGGAAAATGAAGGAGCAATTTAAAAGCCTTTGAAAAAAATCGATAGATGCCGGGGCGTGCGGCCTTCCTGCGTGCTGACGGGCCCGGAGCTCCGTGTGCATTGTCACCGAGGTGAGCGCCAGGGAAGAGAAAATTGGCCTGCGTGCGAGGGAGGCGGGATCGATACTGTCGTTAGTAAAGAGACGCTATTTCACATCTGACTGGCCAGCCCGGCCCGCGGCCGCAGCCGGTACCTGTTGTTAACAAGCCGCCGAGGCTGGAGAGCCAGATACTCTTCAGGCTGACACAAAAAATAGCCACTTAATTTGCTCCTGAGTGTGAGCCACCAGGGAAGGGCTCGCCCCGCGGATTAGCGGGTCAGGGGCCCCTCCCCGAGGCCTCCAGGGTGAGGGCCCGGGCGCCGACCCTGCGTGTCAGGCTGAGATCTAATATTCGTCTCTTATGACAAAGGGGAAAACCCCACTGATGACACACGCAGCGGCTGGGACCCTCACGTGCACGCCAGTGCTGCCCCCACGGACACCTCCGCCTTCGTTGGGGCTCCGGGCTGCGGGCGCAGCTCTTCTCAGGAAAGGGGCCCGAGGCGGCCAGCGCCACGAGACCTCAGCCAGGCGCGACAGACCCTGAGATGTCGAGCCCGACGAGGGCTGCCTCGATGCCCCCACCCCGAGCGTGCTGACAAGCAGCCCTGCCCATGACGACACTTGTGTGTGTCACAGCCCAGCCCTCCTGCTCAGGGCGCTCTGGAGACCGGGCAGCTGCCAGCCTGAGTGCAGCACAGGGCCAGCACACAGCACAGACATGCGTACCGGGAGGAGACGCATTCCCCGAATTGTCACGAGAACAAAGTCCAGGTGGCTGAAGCCCATGGTCTATTTGGTCTGAAACTTGGGAGCCCCGAGGAGGACCCCGAAAGAGCGCTCTGTGGAGACCTGGGTCCCTAAAGCCAGAGGTCCAGAGGCTCAGTCGGGCCTGCCTGGACCGTGGGCAGCACCCTCGCCTCCTGCCCAGGGGTGCACACACATGCACGTGCACAACACACACACGTTTACACACAACGTACACGCCACATACAGCACACATACATGCACACACCGCCCTCCTGCCTGCTGTGGGGGGTAGGAGGTGTGGAGCAATTGCGCCCACACAAGAGCTCACAGGGCAGGGGACTGGGCGGGAGCAGGGTAACATGAGGAGGACTGCACCGGCCCCTCTAAGTGGCACAGGGTCCAGCTCACCTCCCCTCCACTCCTTCCTCTACTTAAAAATACGTCCAAGACCCCAGAACCCAAACATGCAGACAAACGACAACAAGGCAGCTTAAACTGTGGCAGTGCCCACGTCTCCCGTCAGGAGCCACGGGGAAACCTGGCCCCAGTGGAAGACTGAGCATCCTACAGGCCCAGGGACAGTGCATCCCCTGGTGCACTGCTGCTCGCTATGACCAGCTGGAGGCCACAGGTGACCACACAGACACCACGGCAGCCCTGGTGGCCGCTGTGGTCCAGGGCTGTCCCCCAATGCAGTGCTGGCCCCCCGGCCCCCAGACCTACCTGAGCGTCCTGCCGTCCTCTGCAGCTGCTGCCTCTGCTCCCGGGCCCTGTCCTCTGGGTTGAGGGGCCGTCCCGCATTGTCTCTCGGGATGATCTTCCCGTGGAAAGGGCACTACACAAAGACGGGGGGCTCTGATGGTGGGAGGGGGCCACCGCCATCTCTGCTCTCGGGGAGGCTGGCCCACACCACCCTTTGATCTCACATCCCTCAAAGGAGGGGCGCTCCGGACACTGCCAGGACAGAGCCAGGCGTGGAGTGGAGTCTGGGACCTGAGTCAGCCTGGCTGAAGGACCTCCCTCTGCCCCAGCCCCCGTGCACCAGGAGGCCCCTGTGACGCCCAGGCCCAGCGGAGTGGGCTCAGGAGACGCTGTGGAGGGAGGAAAGGCAGGAGCGAGTGTCCTGGCCCTGAGAGCGTCCCGGGTCCTGTGCCCAGACGCCAGGCCCTCGCCCGGACAGGAGGCCCCAGCACGATTCAGTGGCTACGTGATCCCTGCCAGCCACAGACCAGCCCTCCCTGGGGAGGGGGCCCCAGCCCAGGCACTTCCCTCCGGCTGCGCTGTCCTGGCCCAGCCGGCCCGAGGCAGCCGCCCCTGCAAGCCCACGGACCTCACCAGCCACGGCCACCGCCTCACCTTCAGCCGGTCCTGGCGCTCGCAGAGCCGGCCGTCGGGCCTTGGGGCGCGGCACCGGTGCTGCACCGGCTCAAATCGCCCCGCGAAGGTGATGCGGCGGCTCCGGAGCGTCTCCGAGACGTCGGCGTTGTCCACCTCCTCCTCCACCTCGCTGGGCTTCCAGAAGCGATGCTCAGAGTCAGATCTGCGATGCAAACCAGAGACGCTCAGAGCCGCCTGCAGGGACGCGCCTGGCAGCCCGTCACAAGGCCCGGGCAGGCACCGAGGAAGGCAGATCCCAAGACTCCCGGAGCCAGTTCCGGGTCCCACAGGACAGACACGGGAGGCTGTGCCCACCGGCCAGCTGGGCCTGGCAGGACACAGGGCTGGAGCAGGGCGGGCACCTTGACGACGGGGGGCAGGTGGCCGGATCGTGCCCCTCGTCCGCGGCTCCACAGAGAGAAAGCAGGGCCACTGCAGTGAGGTGGGCGGTCACCCAGAGACTCGCGGCAGAGTGTCAGGCCCGGCCCACAGGGAGGCCTGAGTCAGAGGACCAGAGGGCAGTGGGATAGGGCCTGGGCAGAGGCACCAAAGGACATGAAGGGCCGGGAGGGCCCTGGCCCTGGCAGCCAACCCTTCCTGGTCAGGATGCCTGACCCTCGGGGAGGACGACGTGGACGTCTCCCCAGGGAGGTTCAGGGAGGTTCAGAGAAGTCCAAACGCCTGTGGGCACAGTTCCATGGCCGCGCACCGTGCCTACGAGAGCCTGCGCATTGCCATCAGCTCGACGTAGGGGGCGCCCCCTCGTGCCCCCCTGAACCTGGCAGCACTGTGCAGCAGGCCGGGCCACGCACCCGTGTCCATCGGGTGGGGAGGCAACCCCCACCAGGCGGCCCAGAGAACCACAGGCTCGTCTGCACTCACTTGAAGATCTTGCCAGCCGTCGGCTGCTCCTGGCCCCAGTAGCACAGGTCCACCCCAAAGGGCACAACAGGTGCCCGGGCCCGCTCTGCCGCCAGCTTCGCAGCCTCCTCTGGTCCCAGTGGTGTCCTGGAGAGGCCACAAGAATAGAGCAGGACGCACTGACCAAGCACGCCTGGAGCCGGCCACAGCTACTGCCTCTCCCTCTCGCTCTCCACACTCCCCGAGCACAGACCTAGAGCCCTGGGGTCAGCACACTCAAGCAATGACCTCTGCCCCCTGAAGCCTGGGCTCCAGGGCAGCCGCTGAGGCCCTGCAAGAAACCTGGCCCCTGGCTCCGGTTGTCCCCAGATGGCCATGCAGGGACCTGGCCTCGGATCTGTGGTGCTCACCCTGGGCCTGGGGGTGCCCTGACATCTGCCCCTCAGACCCCAGAGCCTCGGGCCCCTCCTGTGCCCTGGCTAATGCGCCAGAGCTCTGAGCCCCCATGGCCCCCACAGCCCTCACCCTAGGTAGACACCAGCAGGTGCTCGCCCGGCCAGGGCTGTGCACCCGGGCTGCCTTCAAGGAGCCAAAGCGCCCCGGGCAGCCAGAGGAAGCAGGCCAGAGCTCTGGGCAGAGGCAGGGCGTCCGGGAGTCACCTGGGGCTTGGGGGCAGGGACGAAGGCAAGCGGCCCTGGAGATGATGCAGCTGGGCGGCAGCAGAGGTAGGGTCGCACGCTTCCTCATCCCTCCTCGTCCTCTTCCTCGCTTCCAAGTCCCGCGCTGCTGGGTCCTTCTCTAGCCCTGGAACAGAGATGTGTGCTCCTGGCCACAGTCCCCATGACCCTGAGAGATCCCTTGGGGCACTGTGCTCCCACCCCCTGGTGACGGCACAGCAGTGACCTCGTGGTTAGGACGCGGCCCAGGTGGGTTAGCACCAGGTCTTCCAACAGCCCACAGCCACACTCCACAGAGCGCCTGCCCTGCCACCAGACAGCCCAGGTCACGATGCCGGCACCTCACTGACGCCCCCACAGGAGATGGCCGGAGACGGCGCCACCAGGCCACTGACCTCTGCAGGCCAGCAGCCATTTCTGGGTCCCCAGGGCAGGGTGAAGGCAGATTCCCAACACTATCGGAGCCCACTCACCCGGCTCCCCGGCCCCGCTGGCCTGCCTGTGCCGAGGCAAGGACCCTGGTCAGCTCTCAGGCTGCCCACCTTGGGGCCCTCCGATCCCTGCTGGCCCCTCTCAGCTGGGCGCACAGGCTGCGCTCTCTGGCCGCTGTCCGAGCCGGTGTCCCAAGGCTGCAGATGTGGCACGGGCAGGCTGTGGGCTAGGACACCAGAGGTGCTCCTCCCGGAGGGCATGGCTTGCTTCCCACATGCCCAACTGGTTGAAGGCGGCTAGCACCTCGAGGGCTGTGAACTGACAGGGAAGCCGAGATGCGAGAGCACGCGGCCATGAGAGAGAGAATAAACAGAGCGACACATCCTGGGAGACGAGGACAGAGGCCCAACAGGCGCACGGCACGCTCTCCAAGAGCTGAGGGAGATGCCGGAGGCACAAGCAGAGCTGAGGAAGAGGGCCAAGACGGTGTTTCTTCTAAGGAAGGCGGCGGGCAAGAGGGGAGGCTGCAGCTTGCGGAGGGATGGAGGGACGGGTGAGCGCGTGCACGAGAGGATAAGGACCCCTCACACACGAGACCCACATGGGACCGCATGCACGTCTGTTTCGAAAATACTCTTACAGCAAGTAATCAATCCGCCAAAAGAAAAATAAGTCAGGAGGGCGGGGTCCAGTAAATGCGACAAAGGACTTCGTAAGATTCACTGCTGCTCCCTCCTCCCAGCTGGAGTCTCACAACATCCAGAACCAAGCTGGTGTCTGGATGGTCCGACGTGCTGGGGATGGCGGAGACTAGAGGGAAAGGGCCCCACGTCACGAGTCTGCAGGGGACAGTGTAGACACTGATGAACCAGGGAAATAAACAGGGAATGGTCCATAGAAGTGTGACTCCTTAAAAAGTTAGGGAGAACCCTCAGAAAAATAAACATTCTTACTACTTTATTTATACTTAATGAATAGTTTCAAAACTAGCAGAAGAAAAGTTAATCCAGCAAATAAAAGGTGGGGAAAAGGAAAAAAACAAAATGACAGCAACAATCAACAATCAGAGAGAAAGTGTGGTCAAAGCAGGCACAGGTGGGCCGGCCGACTGCAGCTGAAAACAGAGTAGCAGTGAGAGAAACGGGCTAAGATCAGTCGAGACAAACTCTGACTAGTTTCCACATATTTAGTAATTTCCTTTCTGTAAGAGACCCACTTAAAACGAACAGGTACAAAAAGCTGAAACTAAAGAGATGAAAACCACTATGCAAACAGGCACCCAGAGAAGATGATATAACAGTTGATACCAGAAAAACCGGATCTGAAGTGAAAAAGGGACAGAAAAGAAGGAACATGTGAAGGCATCACCAACAGGAAGGGATCTGCACCCCGCGAGCAGCTCCAGAGCCCGCGCTGAGGCAGCTCCACGGACCCTCCCCAGGTGGCGGTCAGACAGCTGGGCTGGGGATCTCGAGGAGACTGAGGCACTTCTGAAGGACAGGCGCCGCCCAGACTGTGTCCTTGGGCCACCGAGTGACCATCAGAAGGAGCCAGACGTTGGAAACAGAGACAGACAGGAAGCCCATCACGCACACACAGTCCCATGCTCTTCCTGAGCACGCGCCTCTCCACCCTCTACCTGCACAGACTTACGAGTGCTCCTGGGTTGAACGAGGAAAATCAGAAGGGAGATGACACAACACTGAGACCCGGACACCAAGAGGAGTGCTGCCCGCCCACTCGGGAGCAGGGCCCCCTGGGGAAGGAGGAGGGGTGGGGAAGGAGCCGGGCCTGCTGTGGCTGTGCCGGCAGTGCGCCGTCCCCTGGGCGGCTCCTGCAGCAGGGGTCAGCCTGGCACAACCCGGAAAAGGCCACGCCCGTCTTCACTGCTGCCCTAGGGTCGGCAGCCTGGCCCACTGCCCATTTTTGTGCCCAGTTTCTTGGTGCAGGGCCACGCTTGTCTGCCTGGTGCCGTCTGCAGCTGCTCCACAGAGACCATAGAGGTGGGTGCTGCCACGGGCTCTCGAGTTTACACTCTGGCCCTTACCAGAAAACACCCTCTAGATGCCCTTCGAGCCTGGCGTGCCGCCGTGCGAGTAGGGGCTACCCCTGACTTCTCGGGTTCCTGTGGCTGAGAGTAGAGGACACAGGACAGAGCCACGCAGAGTGACCAGGTCCACCCTTGGCCACCTGGAAGCACCATGAGCTCTGAGGCCAAGCTCGGGTGCACTGGGAAGGTGGCTAGGGCCCCGACCCGGCTCCGTCGTGGACACAGCTTCCAGCCCAGCTCATAAAAACTTCCAACGCCCCCATGTGGGTCACGCGGTCAGCCCCACATGCATGCACCTGCGAGTGTGCCACCCGCATGGCGAGGGGAGGCCAGACTGATGGTCGACGCTGTGGCGTCCAGATGGATACAATCACAGCCGAAAGATCAATATGAGAACTCCTCAGAGTTACAAGAATGAAATATATTTTTCATTGATTTGTTGTTTTAAACCATTAAAAAGATGGGTGAGCGTGTTCAAGCAGGGTGAATACTCAGGGCACTAAACGCACTGCCATTTCACACTGTTGTAGAAAGTCAATCTTGCTGACGTACTTTCAGAGCAAAATCCCAGAGAGCAGATGGCCCCCTGCCCGAGTGCACCTGCAGGGACGAGGGCGACTCCTGGGCAGACAGAGGCCACGAGTCGCGGCTAAACACCACCAGCTGCACCCTCCCAGCCGCGGACATCGCACAAAGTACAGGATCCGGGCTCAGAACTACTCCCACGGTTGCTTTTGGAAAGAATCATAAAAATGCCCAAACCCCCTTTCTGTTTAAATTGACGGAGGGGCACCATTTGCCTGCAGTGCCACGGCAGCCGCGGGCGGGAGAGCGAGCCATCGATCGCGGAGACGGGGCGGCCGGAGCTCCCGTGAAGGTGGGCTGCGCGCCTGACATTATTGATTCCACCCTGCGCAGCTGGCCTTGTAATTAAAATGTAAATTTGAGAAAGAGATTATGTCCTGACAGAAGTGCCAGGATTAAGGGGAAGATAAAAGCTCCTCAGTGAAAATTCAGAGAAAGAAACGAGGAGCGAGCGCCGGCTCCGCGCGGTGTGGATTTAGAGGGAATCCACTGCGAACCCGCCACGTTCCAAGGCAACGACGGAGACGGGAGATGAACCGGCCTCGTCAACTGGCTCACGCGCCATCCGCGCGCGCTGTAGCCTGGCCCTGGAGCAGAGGCCCGGCCTGGAGACCAGTCCGCCTCCCTCCCCCATCTTCCGCTCCCACCTGGCGCCGGGACCCTCCTCTGGACCCAGCGGCCCTCGGCCAGGCTGGCTGGGCAGCGGCGGAGGCCTCGGTCCTGCGCTGCCATGATCTCTGCCACCCACCTTTGCGACTGGACTCTGTCTAGAGAAGACAAACCAACAGCACCCGGCCCAGACCCTCGCCAGCCGTCACCACGTCTAGGGTAGGAGGTCAAGAGCCGTCCAGAGGCAAGTGGAGGACGAGCAGCAGGACAGCTCCCGAGCCCGAGGCGCCTCCACAAGCCAGGCCCACCAGGGCACCGTGCGCGTGGGGGATGCAGGCCTTGCTGGGAGGGGCCTGGCCAGGCAGTGGGGCAGCTCTGCCCCCTCCCTGCTGGCGCCCGCTGCCCGGGTGGTAAAGTGCAGGAGGCGTGGACTGAGTTCTCAGGGACAGTGGCTGAGGTCACCCCGCTTATTATCACCGACTACCAAGCACAAGCCAGCGGCCAGAGCGAACCTCACTAGCAGGATGTGCAAAGTGCCTGCGGCGAGCCAACGAACCGAGGGTCAGAGCCGGCTCCCATACCCCTAGAGGAGGGGCCCAGGGCCTCAGGGCCACGCAGCTGGGCCTCTGCTGGGCGCCAGGTGGGGCAGAGGAGGAGGGGCACACGCAGGTGGAGGGGCCTGGGCAGACAAGACTGCCCGGCACAGAGATGAGGAGCTCAGGCAGAGGCCCCAGCCGGGCTCCTGGGCAGTGGAAACTTGGAGATGTGGCTGGGGCCAACTAGGCTATCCCTGCAGGCCTCAAGCACCTCCTGGGTGCCCCGTGGGCACGTGGGGTGACAGTGTAGTCCAGGGGTGGGGGAAAACCACTTCCAGTGCGATGGCAACTGGAAGAACAGAGCCCAGAGGGCGTAGGGAGGGGGGACGGGCAGAGAGGACAGGCAGGCCAAGGAGGAAGGCCAGCGAAGCCGAGTGGGGGTGGAGAGCCTGCTCATGGGCTGTCCCCGCTGTCCGTGGCCCCTGGCGGGCAGGACGTGGGCACCCAGATGGCAGGCATGGAGCAAACAGGGGCCGTGCAGACAGAGAGTCGTGAGGGATCGTACTAATTCACCCCAATGGCACTTGGGTTGTCTAACCGTCTAAATTCTTTTAACAAATTTACATTTCATCTTTCAGACTCTGACTTAAATCGGCTTGTCCACTTGCCACAAAGGCACGGGTCGTGTTTTTATTTGCTTCCTCCGGACGTGGGGTGACGCCCCGTGTGTCCGAGGTGGATCATGGAGGGGCCCTAACATGGGCACACACTCCTTCCTAGAGGGCCACAATCCTGGGTGCAGAACATGGCTTTTAGAGGCTTTTTGGAAAAGAAAATTCTAGATGGGAAAGACCAATCACAGACGGGTTTGCACAACGTGGCTCTCTGTCACGGCATAAACAGCCTCCAACCGACACCGAGCCTGTGACTCTACAAACGGTGAGGAGGAACACTGCCTTGCTCGTGACACCCCAAGAAATGGTGACTGAGGGGTGGGGGAGCCGGAGAACGGGGAGCAGCGGCCTCCTGCCATCGGCTCCCTCCCACCCCAAACCACACGCCCCCCCAACGCCCTCCCGCGTGCAGGAGCAGAGCTCGCTCACTGTCTGCCCCGGGGGGCCCGAGACTGTGCATCGAGTCAGGGGCCCTCCGAGGCCTCTGCTCTGTGTGGGTGTCCTGGCTGCGCCCACGGGGACTGGGCTAGGGCCTGCCCGGCTGGGGGACAGCAGGAGCCTGGGCCTCCTACCCAGGCCATCAGAGGAGAATTGCACGATTTTCAGTGAAAGCAGCTCGGCAGGGTCACTGGGCAGGGACGCAGCAAACTGCAGGACCACGTGGCTTGGGCTAGGGGCACCCGCCTTGGCCAGCTCGTGCACTGAGTGGGCCCTAGACCCAGACGTGAGGTCATGCCTGAAGGGGCAGAGTCCTGAGTGGGACCCCTCCAGGTGCCCCGCCCCTCGCCACTCACCATACTCGGGCCGCAGGTGGTCAGGGATGCAGGCCTCGTACCCCTCCTTCTCTGGGACCTCCACAAAGTCCTCGTCGTCCTCGTCCTCGTCCTCATCCTCGTCCCCCGGGGCTGCCGTCTATGGAAACACCCCAAGACTCGTGTATGAAAACAGCAGGCAGAGCACGAGATGCCTCGTCCCACTTCCGTGGAGCCCCCTCTCTGGGTTGGGGTCCGGTCCTCAGCCATGCGGATGCATTGAAGATCGTCTGCAAGTCCAGGCCCGTCCTGAAAGCTGCACCAGCCCGTGGCCCTCCGCCAGCGGCCGGTTGGGGTCCAGTTCAACCCACAACAGGGACACCTGCCAGTGGTGAGGCCCTGTGAAGTGCACACACGGGCATCACCCTGCCACCTCACGGGGCACATGCGCGTCCAAAGCCCCGAGGAGCGGGACACGAGCCTCCTCTGGGCACAGCGTGGCCACATCCAGCTTACACCGGGCCAGCTCCCCATTTGGGCCTCCGGTTGTGGCGGTGCAAGTACAGCACTTCTGGAATATTCTGTCTTTAACAATCACTTGTGAAAAAGCCACTGAAGAGTTTTCTTTGGACGAGGCCACCTCCTTGGCAGGGTCAGTGTGGTGAGGTCGCCCATGCTGTGCTGGAGGGAGCCCGGAGCCACCAGAAGAGCCAAGGCCGTAAAGCAGGAGGGGCTGCTGCCCTGGTGACCAACAGCCATGCTCCCGCCCACACGCTAGGGCCACACGCAGCAGGGGTTGGCACCGCGGCTGGCCCTGCCCTGCGGGCCTGCTGCAGAAACCCCCCCAGGGCCAGCTCAGCTTCCCCTCCACCCCAGGCCCCGCCTAACATTCTCAATGACCCTACCCGCCCCCAGGACAGGGCGTGGGGGAGCGCCCCGCCCCCCCTCACGGGGGGGGGGGGGGGGGGGGGGGGGACCTGTCCTCCCTCAGAGGGTCGGAGCAGGAAGGCGCCCAGAAGCCCAGCCCAGCCAAACGATGGCGCCATCTCTCCCCTCCAGCCTCTCGGGCCAGGAGGGGGCAGCTGCCCCCAGAGTAGCAACACCTGCCACAGCCAATTCCAGCCCCCCTGGAGGGAACATCCAGAAGGGAGAACCCCGTGAGACAAACACCAACCCCGGGGACCCTTCCAGGCAGTGAGAGGCAGACTTTGAGAAGCCGAACCGCCTGACACGGCCCGACAGCAACACCTCAGGGCATAATCGCGGCCTGGATGGAGGGGGACAGGGCCGCCAGCGCTCCGTGACCCACCGCGGGAGTCCCGTGCCTGCCCTACGCCAAACCCACAGCCCCCTCAGCTGCCAGTCACGTGTGGAGCCTGCAGCACCCCAGGCCGGGCATCACCTGCATTTGGCCATACCTGCGGGCCCGGGAGCCGCCTGGCGGCATAATCAGATGCAAATGCACTTGTTTAGGTACAACCCACAGCCGTGCATCTGGGAGCGCGGGAGACATTCATCACGGGAAACGGTAATTTTTGTTATCAGTCTAACACTGATCAAAAGGGAAGCCTGTCTCCACCGCTGACCTGTGAGACGCTCCAATTATACTCTTTGGAGATGACAGGGGCACTTAACTCCCGAGCCGAGCAAATGACGACCATCAATCACGTTTGAATAACAATGAGCCACGGACCTGAAAATTATTTTTGTATAGAATCTACCCAGGAATTTATGAAAGGTGGCGAGCAGCCCAAGGTTTAGGGCATTACGGTTCCCGCTGGTGCAGCGCGCTTCAAACACTAAACAGAATTTATGTGTTAATTTTCTAAAAGGTAGATGTGGACCGGGTGCTACAACGCGTAACACACAGTGCCAGGGTTAAATATGGGGCCATTTTCATAAAATATTATGCTTATTGCGCACACCCTTGAGTCTCACTGGGGACTTTTATTAAATTTTCATTTCCTAAAAAATATTTAGCTGCTTAGCTAACTATTAGGAATTATACCTTCTTCCGCCCCAACTAAAATTGTTTATTCCTGTGATTAAATATGGAAGCCTGGGCTCCTCTTTGCCCCTAAATTAGCACTGATAAGGCCGTGTGGGGCTGCCCGTGTCTCTAGGAGGACACGTGTCCTGTATCAACGCCCTGGGACCCCGTCTGGGCCCACAGAGCTGCGAGTGAGGTCCCCACAGCCAGTCTTCCAGGCGGAACTTTGCTGGAACGACCTGGGGCTCTCTCTGTAAGAGCCACGCAGCATGCACCTCCACACCTGCGCGTCAGAGCTTTAGCGGCTGGGGGCCCCACGCAAACTGCACAACGTAGGACTAGGGACTCTAAACAACATCCTCGAGTTCAGCTCACGTGAGGGAGCCTCGGCCGTCTGAAATCCCCGGAGCGCGTAGGGCCCCCGGATGTCTGACTCCAGGCGCACGGCCATCAGGGAAGACAGTGACGCTGACGTCACAGCACAGTCACGGCTGCGTGACACCTGTGTGACCTGCTCAAGGGCCACGCACCAAATGCCTGTTCAAAGAACAGAAACAGCTCCAGCCAGGCCGCACAGCCCTCTCCAAGACTTCGGAAAAGCTGCATGGCTCGGGGGGAACCGAGGCCCACAGGAAAGCATCCATCTGAGCTCATTGAGGGGCCAGTCCAGAGGTTCGAGGCAGTGGTGGTGGCCACCTCCTCTCAAAGCCAAAGGCCACGGATTGGGAAGAAGCCAGCACTGACGGGGAGTGGGAGGGGCAGAGCAGGGGCGTGTGGACAGGCAAGGATCCTGTGAAGGAGGGCTCTGAGGAGGCAGGTGGTCCTCAAACTCTGGTCGGACTCGTGAACTGTTCTTAAGAGCAGTTTGCTGGGTCTCCCAATCACAACGAAACAACACACCACACAACACACTTGAGAAACCAGACCCGGCCCCAGTCTAGGGGACTCGGGTCAGCCAGGCTGCCTGCTCCAGGGTGTGCGTTCACCATCCCTATCTGGTGACGTCCTCGGGCGGCCAGCCAGAGCCCTGAGGCCAATCGGACCCCTCCTGCGCTTTGTGGAGGCCACGGGCGAGTGCCAGGCGCGCTGGAGGACAGCCTCCCAGACATGCGGCCCTGGGGAGGCGCGGGCTGCCGCGGCTTTCTACGAACCGACTCTCACCCACAGTTAAAAGGATTTAGAAAAATGAGCCTCGGCGATCATAATTAAACAAGCAATAAAATGGCTAAAATATACAACGCAATCAGTTTACAGAAGTAGGGCAGCAAGGTTACTAATTATTCGAGAAGGAACGAGAAGAGCGGCCTGGCGCAGGAGCGCTCTGCCCGCCAGCCGCGTGCCCGAGATACAGCTGGGCTGTTAAATAAATTTTGTCCAATCTAATTAACTGGGGCACAATCTCAATTACTTTTCACCCAAGAAATCACTTTTGTTCAGTTTTTATGTGTCTGTTTCCCTTTTTTAAAAAAAAAAATGATGTAAGGCCTCGTCAGACAAGTGAGCTCCAAACTGCATTTGTCTTTCAGCGGCTGATGGCCATGCATTTAAAACCCCATTCTATCTTATAAACTAAAAATTAAACGTGCTCAGCTGTGATGGTCGTCATTGCGTCTGCTATTTATATGCTAATACCCTCCCTGGAAGGCCGCGCAAATTGCCCAGCCAGGCCAATATCTCATGTGCATCTCTGGCTGTGGGACGCACCTCAGAGGGCAGAGGGCCGGTGCTCGGCTGACCACGCGAGCAGGCGGGAGCAGGGGCCCACACACAGCACCACCCACCCCGTGACGCCTGCCTGGACGCAGACACAGCCGCCAAGCACGCCTGCAGCTGAGTGAGAATCTGAGAGTGATGCTGAAGCGAAACACCATGTTCAGAACGACTTCCCTTTCTCATCTCCTCTAAATGGGCAGCAGGAGGCAGCATCTCAAAAGGCGTCGCCATGGAAGCTGCACGAGCGCTGCGTCCAGCCTGCTGGGCGTGTGAGAGGTGGCTGCCTCCGCTGTGGGTCAAGAGATGCCTGGAGGTCCATTTCCAGGGTGAGGCTGGGGCCAAAAGCGTTGCTGAGTCTGCTGCAGCCAGACAGACACGTAAGGGTACATTTGTCAACATCATAGGACAGTGGCCTGAGTCTATGCTGCGGCCCTGAGGGACAGCCCTCGCCTCCTGGGGGGCCAAACTGGGGCTTGCCGCAGGATTCAGTGTGAGATGCGGCCTCAGTAGAGGCTTGGACCCAGTGCCACAGGACAGGGAGTGGCCAGTGTGAGTAGGTGCACAGGGAGCAGGCCACATTCTCACCCAGGCCACCTGTACTTCACACCTGGGCCACCTGCACTTCACACCTGGGGCACACGCACATCTCACCCAGGCCACCTGCACTTCACACCTGGGCCACCCGCACGTCTCACCCGGGCCATCTGCACTTCACACCTGGGCCACCGCACATCTCACCCGGGCCACCTGTACTTCACCTCTGGGGCACCTGCACGTCTCACTTGGGCTACATGCACACCTCACCTGGGCCCCCGGCACTTCACATAAACTGATGTCACGTGCAATGGAGTGTGCAATCACTTCCTGGTTACAGGGGCCTCCAGCTCCAGCTCAGGTGGCTCTCACTGCGTGACCCACAGAGAAAGCTAACTTGGGATGTGGGAGATACTTGCTCCTCTAGGGCCCAATTAACACCCGCTTTCCTCCCTCAGCCCAACCTGCTCAGGGGAGAGCACAGGTGGCCAGAATACCAGCCCCGGTCACAGGGGAGGGGTGGTGCTCACTGTGTGACACTGTGGACGGCATGTTTGGCAGTTCGACCTTGGGAGGAGGCCAAGGCCCACACAACTTTGCCCAGTCTTCTCTTCTGTAAATTGGAGTAATAATATAATCTACCTTCTAAGGCTGTTTTTGGAATCAAAGGGAGAATTCTACCTGAAGGTGTTCAGAAGAGAGCAGGGCTGTTCGGCGAAGGGAGATGGGAAGCAAGTGGACGTGCAGTAGGGCGGCAGAGCCTGGGCCAAGGCCGTGCTGCAGGGCTGGCGGAGCGAGAGGGATAGCCCTGAGCAGCAGGGCTCCGGCCAGGCCGCTGAGCCTCAGACGCCCTCCCAGTCCTCGGAGAACGGAGTGTGTGTGCAGACCCCTCCCCCAGCTCCAGCGCCGGCGCGGGCCTGGCCTTCAGCGTGATGGAAGGAGCGCGTCACCAGGAAGGTTGTTTACTGGCCCTGCCGTGCGCAAGGTCCCGACGCGGCTGATTTAGTTTTCCTGCTCCCTGGGGTGCCTGACGCGCCCAACATTTCATTCCCTGGGTTTCCTGCTCTGTCCTTTTCACCTACAGGAAGACAGCACTCACGGCTCCAACAGCACCGAGGGCCCGTCCCCACGACAGCAGAGAGCAGACCCCCAGCCTCACTGCCCTGGGCAGGAGGTGCTCTCCTCCAAAGACCAGTGTGGCGGGACAGGCTGGCCCAGAGGCAGCAGGCAGCCGGCCGGCAAGGAGGACCTCACGTAGCATGAAATGGACCAATTTCATGGTCCGCCTTTGGCGTGAGTGAGGATGTGTCGCTGTCAAGATCACATGGCTGCCACGTCAGACTGGAGATTGGTGAGTGGGTATTTTAGCCATTTAAACATATAACCCAATAATTTAAAAAAAACAACCCATGCTGCTGATACTTTAAATGGACTGATGCTTAAAATTATTTTTTTTCTGACTTACTCATTGGTGGGTAATTAATATTTTGTTAACTACAAAATACAAAGTCATTGGTGATTTGAGCTACACAAATGACAGGCAATTTAGAAATTTTCAAAGAATTTTTATCAGTTTAACGAATGTAGCAGCGCAGAGTGTCACACCTCTCCTACAACATCAAGGCTCGAAACTAATCCAACCAACAAGGCCCTGTGATCTACTTAAGATCCACCGCGGTCGGTGTCCACACGGCACCGACACAGACACGCACCACAAAACAAACCGCTAAACACAGTTAAACTGCTTAAATGTTTGTAAATGACAGAACATCGATTTCAAAAGGGAAACAATAGGCAGAAACCAATGGCAACAGACAGACAAAATGGGAAATCTGGGGGAAAAAAGGCACAGGCCGTGTTCCCGGGTCGGCTGTGGGGCAGCAGGTCCACAACGCGGGTCCCCCCAGCCTCTGAGGACAGGCTCCCGGCTGCTGTCCAGCGTCCAGGCTGCTGCCGTGCAGCTTCAGCCCCGAGCATCATGTTTGCTTCGGCCTCTTACGAGTTTCTCATAAGTCCTAACACATTTCACTCACGCGCCGTTCCCTGCTCAGCCCGCTGTCTACCAGCTACGAGGCCAGGCCCGCGTAGGTGGGAAACACCGAGGAAAGTGACTTAAACACAGGACGTTTCACTGGAAAACGCTCGAAGAACCTGCTCTTAATTCCTAATTCCCTGGAGCTCGCGGGCGGCCGCCTGCCCTGGGCGGGAGCAGATGTGCAGATACAGCCGCGTCTATTCCGGGAAGCAGCGCGCACCTGAGCGGGCACCGCCACTGCGCCGGGCGAGGCCCAATCGCTTCATCTCCAGGCGCCGCAGCTGCCAGCAGAACGAGCACAGTCTCCGAGGATTTCGGAGCAATGCCTTTACAATCGGTCTGTAGAGAAGCGTCCGCAGCCTCCACCAGGCTGACAGGGGCTGCGCGCAGCTCCCTCCCCCTGGAACCTCTTCCACCTGCAGCTGCACTGACAGGGCCCAGCAGCACGCCCCCCCCCCCCCCCCCAAGGCCATTGGCCTCCTGGTGCAGGTCTGCTGGCTGGAGGGGGGCTGCAAGGGGTCCCGCACACGGTGGCACAGGGCCCTGGCTGGCTGCCCACCTCCACAGCGCCCCCTTCACCCTGACAGGAGCATTCAGACCTGGGTCCTCAGGTGAGCCTCACCCACCTTCAGAATGGACAGTGGTGTCTCCTCTAGAGGAAGTCCCGCCCCCCAAGCCCACTCCCACCTCAGGCAGCCCAGAGCCACCCCACTTGACACCCAGGCCCGGACACTCGATGCCACCCACAGGGAGGTGCAAGGGCCCCGGGGCCACGGTGGAGACAGCGCTGACCCTGGGCACAGCACCTAGTCCCACAGATGTGTGGGGGCAGTGCTGAGGGCTGCACTAGTGAGGTCTGAGTCACATGTGAGCTCAGAGGCGGGTGAGGTGCTGACAAGGGTGCACAGGCAGGCAGCCCCCAGCCCCTGGCCTGGCATACCGCCTTGTGGCCCCTGCCAGGCGCTGACTGGGCCCTGTACATGGCCCCCAGAGGAGGGCTCCTCCCGCATGGGAGGCCTGAGCCCCTGCAGTCTCCATGAGTGCTCAGGGTGTCCACCTGCAAGAGGACTCATCCCGGGGGCCAGCCGCCCACTGACACCCAGCGGGGCCGAGGGTGAGCCAGCCACACAGGAGTGCCTCGTGCCCCCCAGGCTCTGGGGTGCCCAGATGCAGCTTCCGGGACATGCTGACGCTCAAGCCCCAGCTCCAAGCCCTGGAGTCGGAGCCCCACTCAGCCCGTTAGGAGACCTGCCCTTGTCTGGCAGGAGCCCTAGAGGAGACTGTGGAGTTGTGAGATGAGAGCGGGGCAGTGGCAGGCCATCCAGAAGGTTCTGCTGCCAGCTTGGGGCTCGGAGTCTTGCCAGCCCTAGCAGTGCTGCTGGTCCCCAAGGGACGGTGTGGGCTGGCCCTGGGCCTGGCGGGACAACATCATGCTGCCCAGCAACCCCTTGTGGCTTCTGGGCTCTTCCCCCAGGATGCCCACTGCACAGAAAAGGAGGGAGCCGGCCTCGGTGTGTCAGTCCCACTCCTCCAGACACAGCCACGGAGAGGTAGCCTTTGTGCAAAACAGGCCAGTCCTCAGGCCACTGAGAAGGGGGTGCACAGGGAAGGCACCCCAAACCCTACACCCTCCCTGCTCTCAGGCCCAGCCCTCTGCTGACGCCATGGCCCCGAGTCTGCTAAGGGTTAAAAATACACTCCTCCCGAAGTTCTAGGACACGCTGACCAGGTCAACCTCTTCCTCCCCTGACCAGAAACTGGTCTTTTTTACAGCAAAAAAAGCTTCTTGGTTAAAATTCACAAAAGCAATTTACCTCTAGTTAAGTTACATGCCCAGTGAAGCTCCATGAGGAGCTGATGACCACCCACGTCTGCAGGCGCCCACTGGCTGGTCACCCCCGCGCCTGGCTGCTTACACCTGCACCCAGCTACTTACCCCTGTGCCATCCACCAGGTTTGCTGCAAGTTTCCTGGGACTCTCTGGCTTTGCGTGAGAAGGGCAGGAGCGCCCTCTGCCGGTCCCTGGGGGCCGCACACCCCACAAAGTTGAGGGCAGATGGTGAGTTGGCACCCAAGACTCCTGGGAAACCCTGCTGCTCAGAAACCCACCCAGTTCTCGCAGGCCCCACAGCAGCCGGTGGCGGGGCGCTGCGATGGGGCAGCCAGCAGCCCCCTGGGGGAAAGGACACTGGGTGTCAAGACCTAGGGTGTTGGCCACTCTCGGTTCTAGGTCTGAGCGGCTTTGAACTTGATCTTTTCCTCAGCAAGGAATGGCGTCCTTCCCACCCAGAACTTCCTTCAGAAACAAGGAGTTTCTGGCGCTGCCCCCAGAACCACGCCCCGCCCTACTCCAGGTCGCAGGGGGTGTGAAGCTGGTGAACGGGCTGGGGGCTGTGGCCCAGGTTCGGTCGGGGCGAGGAGGGGGCCTGGGGTGGCAGACAAGGGCTGCCATGCTGAGTGGGACGGCTCTGGCTCCTCTGCTCCTGATGGCTCGGCTGCTCCCTCCCTGCTGGCACTCCCCACGACACTGACACCAGGAGGACCCAGCTCTCAGGTCCCTTTCAGGTGTTAAGGTCCGGGCCAGCGGGCGGGGCCCTGCCCTGCCCCATCTGCAGCAGCCGGCCCGGATGCCACCGTCTCTGAGGCTCGGGGGTCACTGATCGGGTGCCTGGTATCCTGGGAGCGGGTGGGTTTCACCCTCACCCCATCACCAAGGGTCCCCATTCAGGCCACGCACCACCCTCAGCCTGCTCCTGCTCCACGTGCCTTGCTTGGGATGCGGCTCTCAGAGGACCAGCTCCTCTCTTGCACACCCCAAGGTCCTTGCGAGGCCTGTGGGCTCCACATGCCCAGCAAACGGTCGCCTTGGCCATCCTCCCCAAAGTGGGCACCAGCCCCCACGTTCACCCCGAATGGTTGCCGGAACTCTGCCGTGGGGCCTGCCTGGGATGGTGGCAGTGCCACCTCCCTGGGCTGGGGGCACAGCCTCTGCGTAAGCCCGGAGGGGACGTCCTGACTGTGTCCCAAACGCCCCCTGCACCGCGTGCTTGGCTACAATGCCGGGGATGGAATCTCGCTCTCCAACTAGAACCTTCTACCCACTCCCCTAGCTCGCTCACCACGCTCTCCTGCCCCAGACCCCATCCTAGTCCCTCCGTTTATAGGGAAATGCCTGGACTGTGGCCTCTGGTCCTCGAGTCCAGGGCTTCCATTTCTAAAAGTCAGTTCTGAGTGAAAAAGGAACCGGAATGTTCTGGAGCCCCAGCAACTCCTGCTTGCTTAGAGGATCAGAGAGAGATCCCCTCGCTGCCTCCCGCCTGCGGGTGGCACTCACCTCCCTCCTGTGCACCCCCTCGGGCTCGATGTCCAGCTCCTGGGATCTCCTCAGGGCAGTTTCCAATTCCGCCTTCAGGTCAATGGCGCCCTCCAAGTGTCCGCCGTGGACGCCTGCGCGGGTGAACAGCTGCCAACGAGGGGGCACGTCACACAGGCAGGCGGGCGCCCTCCCCTTACCCCTGGGGCACTCTCTGAACGCCTGTGGCACCCTGCTTGCCCAGCACTCCCACACGGGGAGTGCCCTCACCTGGACCCAGGAGCACACGGCGGGCAGGAACTTGTTCCGAATGAGCTTGAGTGCGTCCCGGGCCGAGTGGATGACGGCGCAGTTGTCCTCGTCCTCCCGCACCCGCAGGCTGTCTGCAACGAGGGGCGCAGGGTCACCAGGGCGACTGAGGGCCCAGGGCGGTCACACAGCACCACGGACAGGACCACTCGCACTTCTGCCCATCCTCACGCTGGCCAGGCATCACCTGGACCCAAACCTAACACCCGAGAAGGAGATTTGCTGCTTTACGATTCTGGTCAAGACCACTATGGCCTGACCCCAAGGCCTCCCTCCAGCAGCCTGAGAGCCCCATGGCATTCGCAGGGCCAAACAGATCCAGCCTGTCCATCGAGACTGCAGCAGCCCCGAGACCCTACCCACCCTGCCCTCAGGACGGAGGCCCTACCCGCCCCTCGGCCGCAGGTCCTCCCTCGGAGCCCTGCCACCCGGCCGTTCCCTTGCCTCACCCCAGCCCCCGCCCAGCCATCCACTCCAGGTCAGACAGCAGTCAGTTCCTCAGTCAGTTCCTCAGGGCTCACAGGGCTCAAGGTGGGGGGGGCGGCCAAGTCCTCTCAGAGTGAAGGAGCCTAGACACCCCCACCCACCGTACCTAAAGGCCCCACTGCTCCCCACACCCACACAGGGAGCCGGTGCCATGAGGCCCCCCAGGCCGAGGCAGCCCAGCCACACAGAGAAACCACAGTCTTTACCCCTCCTCCACCCCGCGGCTAGAACGCTGGGGCCACATGGGGCTCTGTGTGTCACCACCCGTCATCACAAACACGGGACAGGCCATTTCTCATTCACGTTTCCTCCCAGGCAAGAGCGGGTGATGCCTGACTCCTGGCAGCCACCCTCTGACCCCGGCAGGCCTGTGCGCGAGCAGCACGCCCGCAGCCTCCCAGGGCTCCCTGTCACTCAGAGCACCAAGCCCACCCAGCCGCCACAGGACCCACGGCCTCCAGGCACCCCTCACCCCAGCCTTGGGGGTCCCTGCCCTGCTCACAGCCCAAGAAGTCTGAGCTCTCGGCAGTGTTCCTGTGGCCCGTGGCTAAGGAAGCTGGCATAGGGGCAGCCTGGGCCGAGCAGTGAGGGAGAGCCCCGACCAGCCTGTGGGAGCCGGGGAGCCGGGTACCTGAGGAGAGCTCCACGTCCAGCGTGTACTTGTGGGAGCCCAGCCCGTGGCGCCGCACAAACCCTTCCTGGTCGCTGTCCTCATCCTCGTCCTCGTCCTCTGAGGGCGGCCCCTCCCTGCTGGTGGCTCCTGGGTGGCGCGCACAGGTGGGCAAGGTCTTGCTGCAGCAGGGCTGCTCCTCGTCCTCGTGGTTGGGGGCGGCAGCCTGGTGGGGTCTGCCCTCCGCAGACACACTGGAGGCAGCAGCGGGCACGGCAGCCCCCGGGCTCGGGGCCAGGTCAAAAGGCAGCAGCAGCCTGAAGCAGCTCTCCACCTCCGTGAGGCAGCGCCGGATCTCCTCGGACATTTCTGCAAAGACCAGGACGCTGCCTGTCAGGTCCCATCAGCAGAACGGCACCAGCTGCCCAGCAGGCCCGCTGTCGGGGGAGGGTCATGTGCCAGCAGGTGGCGGCTGCCCGCACCCTCGGGCTTCTTCCTCCCCTCCACACAGGCCGGCGCCCTGGTGCGCACAGCGGGGCGAGGCCCCCCTCCAGGGCATCCTGGGTAATGCCCAGGTCTGGACTCGCCCTGTGGCAGTGGCTCGTTGGCACGTCTGTGAATATCAAATAGGATAAGCCGACACGGGCAGAACTTCCGGAAGGGAGTAGCCAGCCGAGAGCCATCAGGACACAGGCCACTTCCCAGGCGCTTAGTCTGAGCACACCCCCACTGGCCCGCTCTGGCTGCCCACTTGGGATCTCCCTGGGGCCAGACCAGCTCCCTCCTGGGGGCACAGCGGCAGCTTTGCAGCCTTTTCTGAGGCTGGGTTTCCCAGAAGGGCCTTCAGCCAGGGCCGCCTCCTGCATCCCTCACACCCCGGCTTCCTCTCACCAGAAGGCCGCCAGAAAGCAAATGGTGGGGTCTTTGGAAGAGGCCCTGAGATGAACGGGTGGGGACGCTCATCTCCCGCTCCCTGGCCTGAGCAGCCTTAGGGGAAGTGGTTGTCCCCAGCATGACCACCAGGGGGCGAGGGAGAGGTGTGGACGGCCTGCAGGGGCCCCTCCCAGCCCCAGGGTCAGAGCATCTTGCGGCAGGGCTGGGTCTGTGGCCAAGCGCCTCCCCCAGGCCCCAACGTGAAGGTCTCTGCCCAGCTTGTTTGCCTGTCGGTCCTCCCCCCGCCCCGGGGCAGACATGTGGCAGGAGGATGGACGGGCTGGACGCAGCCCTGGGAGCACTGCCTGGGAGGGAGGGGTGGGCGGGGACTCACCCTCCATCTGCTTCGCGGCCCGCTCAGACCTTTCCCTGTAGATTTTATCCAAACGCTTCTGCTTCTCCTCTTCTCGCTTTCTCTCTGCCAGAGTCCGAGCATTCACATCTTGAAAATCCACCTGAGAAATCGAGACAAAGATTGGACCTGACCTAAAGAAAACCAAAGTGAAAAGTGGGCCTGAGGCCGCAGCAGCGCACGGCCAGGGCCTCTGTGGGGCTCTTAAGATCGCAGCATTTTAAAACGCAAGGAAATACACTTAACTATGATGTTTCGTCCCTGGAAAGAACACAGCCAGCAGCATTTCCTAACAAACGACATAAAAAGACTCCAGCTGTGAGCACACGCAGGTGGGAAAGCAGCCTGCTCGCCCGATCAGCATGGAAGGCAGGCTGCTGGCCAGACCCAGGGCCTGAAAACACCACCGGAGAATGGACCTCAGACATGTGGCCAGAGAGGCAGCACCCACAGGCCACGAGCGAGCTGAGACTGGGCAGCCACACTGGGCAAGGCCTGGACCAGTGAGAGAGGGGGCAGCAGCCAGTCCTGGTGGGTTTCATCCACCCAGCACCAGCCAGAGCCACAGGGACCCAGGCGGGAACTCGCAGTGCACAGCAAGACGGGTCCCAGAGAGTGCTCGCTGTCAGAGGAGAGGCTGCGTCTGAGAAGCTGCCTCTCACTTTTCCTCTTTTCGCCCCTGACCCTTCGGAAACTAGGTCCACAGGCTCAGCTCCACGCACACGAGGGGATGGGCTTACGCTCTTCTTCCCAAAGCTGCCCCACCCTCTTAGGAGTCCTGACCCCCACCTGCTGGTTGCTCTCAGGCCTGCTCCCCACAACCCGCCCAGCAGCTAGGGGCCGGGTGAGTCTCTTCCCCATGACAGCACAGCGCGAGGCTGCCCACCTGCTTGTTGTGTCTCAGGAAGTGGTAGCCCAAGGCGAGCTTCTTGTAGGCCGAGCCATACTTCTCGTTCCACACCTGGACGGCCCGGGTGGTGGCCTGCCTCAGCCTCTGGGCCACCTCCCTGGGGGGCGGCAGGGGATGCTCGTGGTCGGTGCCCAGGGTGAGCTCCAGGAACTCCTGGAAGTCGGAGATGACCAGCACCCGGAACTGGTGGGACCTGGCGAAGAGCTCGTCCACAATCTGGAAGGCGGAGAGACGGATCTCGGCGTGTTCCTGGCTCAGCTGGGCCTTCAGCAGATGGTAGGCGTGGCCAAGCTGTTCATCTGAAGACCTGGGGACCGAGCCGTCCTCACCAAGCGCCCGGCGCTTGAGGACAAACTAGCTAAAAGCACAGGCGGCAGGTACGTGCGCCCTGAGTCCTCTCCCTTCTTCAGAGCAGGGTGGACAAGCTACCCCCCGCGTGCCAAATCAGCCCTGCCTGTTTCTGCGTGGCCCACGAGGCAAGAACGCCTTTTACATTTTTATTTTACATTTTTAAATAGTTGAAACAAATCAAAAGGAAAATACTTCGTGACATGTGCAGATTCAGATGAGGTTCAGTGTCAGTGCCCACAAGGTTCCACTGGACACAACCGCCTGCAGCCTAAAGTTCTCACCAGCCAACCATCACAGAGAGTCACAGAGAAAGCTGTGGAGATGAAGAAAGAAACCCCCAACAGGGTGCATGGGGAAGGCCTGCAGGGGGGCTCCCGCCCATCACACGTGGTCAGTTATACCAAACAGAAGGAGGAGGCTTCTCTGCTGAAGGAAGACTGCCCCCCCATAGCTCAGCCAATGGGAAAAGCCACAGCTCAGCCAATGAGAGATGCCGAAGCTCAGCCAATGGGAAATGCCACAGCTCAGCCAATGAGAGATGCCAAAGCTCAGCCAATGAGAAATGCTGCAGCCTAACCAACGAGAAATGCCACAGCTCAGCCAATGGGAAATGCCACAGCTCAGCCAATGGGAAACGCCACAGCTCAGCCAATGGGAAACGCCACAGCTCAGCCAATGGGAAACGCCACAGCTCAGCCAATGGGAAATGCCACAGCTCAGCCAATGGGAAACGCCACAGCTCAGCCAATGGGAAACGCCACAGCTCAGCCAATGGGGAACGCCACAGCTCAGCCAATGGGAAACGCCACAGCTCAGCCAATGAGAAGCCGCTGCCGCCCTGAACTGTTACTTTCCCCCAATGGACCTTCCTTTAGAACAGCCACCTCCCTCCCATTTCTCTATAAAAGCAGCTCCTTTGTTCTCTGGATTTGTCTATGGCTCGCCAGAGTGTGCACGTCATGAGCCGCGATTCTTTTCGCTCTTCTCAAATAAATTTGGCTTTTCAAGTCGACAAAGTCAGCTGTGCCTGCACAAAGGCTCATAGGAGACGTCAGCCCAAGTGGAGACCACATGGCCCAGCCTCCCCTGCAGGTGCGGCCAGGTGACAGGAGAGGGAAGGGTCTGTGGCCTCCTGGGAGCTGCCCTGGGAAGGAGCTGGCCCATGCCCTCATGCTGCTTCTCTTCCTGCCCCCCCACCACCTGCCCTGTAAGCCACTGCTTTTATTGAGTTTTCTGGGGCATACAGTGAAACCTACTCTGAGGTGAAATTTTTTTATCAAAATGTAAATACTTCATCACTTAATCACTTAAATTCTCCTGTCTTGCGAATACAGGACAAGGATCATCAGTAAAAGTTGGCTTTTGTTCTGTGTCTGAAAAGTTCTCAGTAGATCCCAGCTGACGCCATCCACAGAGGGAGAGACGAGAGCCGTGGATGCTCTAAAGGCAGACAGATCCCGTTGAGGAGCAACCTGCCATCTGTGACCTCTAACCTTCCTGCCATCACACATTGCAACAGTAAAGAAAAAGACGCACAACTAACCTATGAGTCACATGTGTGCACTCATTAATGACGAGCTCTATCACACACACGCACACAGGAGAGTGAACACAGACACTGCTCACAGTCCTCATACATTCTCCCCACATGCACACCCCCACCCTGGGGCCACTGCCCCCGACCGTGACCATCTGCCAGCATGGGCACTGCAGGGTCCTGGGGAAAAAAACGTCCAGGGCATGCTGTTCCTTTGCTGGTTCTTTCCCAGCAGAGAGAGGCGATTGTGGGGGCAGGCAGGGGAGGGCTGAGATATAGGCAGGTAATGGAAGGCCTGACCCCAGGGGAAGCCCATCAATTTCCCAGGGTGTCACGGATTTGCTGGGCCAGGCAGTCACCATGAAATGCCGAACCTTAAGACATACTTGCAAATTTTTTTCAGTTCCTTCATTTTCTCAGGATTCAGTTGGGGTTCTCCGGAAGTTGTGAGCTCTTCTACCAACTCTGAAAGTTTTTGATCCATATCTGGAAATATGTAACAGAGACACTAAATGGCTATCTAATCCTTCACAGTTCTTGCTTTTATTAACAAACATTTACCGAGCTCTGCTGTATGCCAGGCACTGGGGGGGCTGCAAAGCTAGGGTCCTCATGCCCTGGCCTCTGTGAGGTGAGCTCCTGGATGTTCACATGTAACTTTCAAGGTGATATTCCAGGTGAGGCCAAGGCGCTCCTGGTGGTGACTAGGGAGAACACAGCCACAGACCAGGAACCCTGGAGACCTACAATCACACAGGGCCCCAGGTGCTGCAGGATGGCTGCACTTGGCTACACACGTGTGTTAAATGAAGAAATACAATTGTCTAAATTATACTTAAATTAACTTTTCCCAAACGTGACTGTAGCACTTTCTCATTTGCCAACACTCTTCATTCACGACCCACAAGACAGCCTCTGGAGACCGCAGAGTGAGTTGCTGCCAACTTTTGTAACAAGAGACCCGATTTGCACCTGGGGAGCCACCTGGAGGCCAGGTGCAGAGCTAGCAGAGGCAAGTGGACCCAAGGTGCCAGCGCTGAGGGCACTGGAGAAACGCAAGAAGGAAAGGGCTGGGGTTGGGGTAGGCCGGACAAATCTGTTGCTCAGCAGGACTGAGCCTAGGGGCAGCCTGGATGCCTGGCTGGCTGGAAGGCTTTATTTGACGGAAGGAGGGACCCAGATGGGCAGCTGCACAGGGGCTCTCAGCAGCACTGGCAAATAGTAACGTTTAATCGCTGACACCAGGTCAATACACACTCAACAGACCCTGGGGGCTGGGGCCGAGCGCCTGCACCGCCGAGCAACCCCAATGCCTGTAGACCTCCTCCAGGTGGACTTGGTCTGCTCCCTAAGCCGGGGGCTTCCCGGGGAGGAGAGACATCCTGAGAAGAGGGAAGATATAGCCCAGGGAGGAGCGGGAGGAGGAGGAGGGAGCATTGGCCCTGGGAGGAGGAGAGGGAGGAAGAGGGAGAGAGGAAAGGGGAGGAGGGGGAGGAGGAGGAAGAGAAGGAGGGAGTGTTGGTTCTGGGAGGAGGCGGGTAGGGGGAAGAGGGAGGAGGGAGGAAGGAGGAGAAGAGGAGGGGAAGGAGGAGGAAGAAGAGGAGGGGAAGGAGGAGGGAAGGAGGAGGCAGGGGAGGAGGGAGAGGAGGAGGGGGTATGGGGAGGACGGAAGGGAGGAGGAGAGGGAAGGAGGAGGCAGGGGAGGAGGGGGAAAGGAGGGGGAAAGGAGGGGGAAGGGGAGGAGGGAGAGGAGGGGGGTATGGGGAGGACGAAGGGGAGGAGGAGAGGGAAGGAGGAGGCAGGGGAGGAGGGAGAGGGGAAAGAGGTGGCGGGGGCTTCGGCCCGGGGAGGCAGAAGGGGGGGCAGGGGGGGCAGGGGCGGCCCGGGAAGGGGCCCGCCCTCCGACCCCGCCCCGCCAAACCCGGCCGCAACCCCCGGCCCCCGGGAGGAACTAGACGCGACCCCACCCGGCAGCACAGAAACCTCAGCACCTACCGCGGGACCAGGCCGGTCGCCTCGCCCCGCCCCTTCCGGCGGCGGGCCCGCCCTCGTCACGTGCCCCATATCTCTACAGTCATTGGTTCGCCCTGGTCTGGGCGGTGCAGGAACGAAGGTCAGCGCGTTGACCACCGCACCTACCGCGAGACGCGGCCGCTCTCACCTTAGCCTCGCCCCTTCCTGCGGGGGATCCGCCCACTTCCGGTCACGTGTCCCCGAGTTCGGCAGTCTATGGCTCGTTTTCACCGTGGAGGCGTGGTGTCGGGGCCGAGGTCTGCGCGGTGACGCAAGCGCGCTCCCGGCGGAGGCGGAGCGCCCAGGGAAGGCGACGCGCGAGAAAAAGGAGGCGGGAGGGCGCGGCAAGTCCTTAAAGGGGCCGCGGGCCCGGGCGCCGGGGCTGGGCTTGTCCCCCGGGTGCGAGCTCGGGGTTCTCCCCGCGGCCGCCAGGAGGCCTGCGGTCCCCGGGCGGTGCCCCTGGGATGGCCGGGGTGGAGCGGGTGCGCGTTTCTCCCGGGAGCACCGGAGCCCGCGTCCCCCGCTCGCCCCCTACGCTGCCAGGAGAGGCGGAGGGCTCCCGGGCCGGGATGGGGGTCGCGCCGGGCTCCTCCTGGTCAGGCGTGGGGTTGGGGTCCCCAAGGGCCCTGAGGCGGAGGTGTGGGCCTAGGATGAGGCTTCAGGGAGTGAAAGAGGGCGGCTTTAGGGGTCCGGAGAGGAGGGTCCGGCTGGGAGGGTCGGCGGGCTGCGCGTGCGGGGCGCTGGGCAGGGAGGGGCGGAGTGAGCAGGTCCCCGCAGGCGCCTCCAGCCCCTTCTTCCTACCCCGTCACCAGACTCCCCTGCCCCTGCCCCGCCCCTTCCTCGAGGGTTTGCGCCCACTCTGTCATCAGAGGCGTCGCCCGCTGGCCACACTTCCCAGGGTCAAGTGTCAGCCCGGGGAGCATCTCTGTGTGGGTGGACCGCCTCCCCGGACCCACTGGCCGGGCCCCTCCCTGGCTTCGTCTTTCTCCAGGACGCCCCTCGCCGCCTGCATCTGGGTGGAGGCCTTGGGGTGGCCTCCGCGGGGCCGTGGGCTGGTGGAAACAGTGGGCTCACGTCCTGGGAGGCTGGGGAACTGGACATCCTGTTTGTTGTTTGCTCCTCCTGCAGCCCAGGAACGCTAGGGCAGCCAGACGACACCCCCAGGCCCAGACCCATGGTCCAGCCACCCTTGACATGTGCACCCAGGTTTTCCCCAGGCATCCCAACCCTATTCGGCCACCACCTGCCCTCTAGGGCTCCCAGCCAGCTGCCCAGAGGAGGACCCTGGGAGTTGCTCCCAGCACCCACTCACAGCCAGGCCACGGTGAGATGCTTACCTCCTCCTCTGCCTGGAGGTGCTGTCCCCTCACCGCCCATGCCCACTGCACCTGCCCCCTCATGGCCCAAGGGGCCTTCTCAAAGGGCAGGGCTGGTGGCCTCACCCCCAGCTTGGAGTCTGCACTCTGCTCTCCCATCTTGCTGTGTGCTCTAGCCTCAGGGCCTTTGCACACGCTTTGACCCCAGCCCAGCACTGTGCCCTCATACTACAGGTGGTGCTGTCACCAGCCTCAACAGGACCCCTCCACCATCAGCTTTGTCTCTGCCCTTCCCGCAGGGAGGCCCCTGGTGCCTGGGGGTCGTCAGTGCCCAGCACAGCACCACCACAAACAGGTGCTCAGGAAGCAGATTGGGTGTTTTCTAGGACCTGGGGAGGTGGCAGAATGGGATGAAAGCACTAAAGACACAGGCCCCAGGACATTCATGGACACAGCAGCGCTGTTCTTAATGGCAGAAGGCGGAAACAGCCTGAATGTCCATCCACAGGTGACGGATGAACAAACCATCCTCCAGCCTTAAAAAGGCGTGAAGCGCTGACGTGTGTGACACAGACACACCTTAAGACACGATGCTCAGTGAGAAGCTGGACGAAGAAGCCAGCCACGGTGCGATTCTCCTTACCTGAAACGTCCAGAAGAGGCAAAGCCACCGAGACAGAAAGCAGACAGTAGTTGTGGGGGCGGGTGGGTGACGGGGAGTGACTGCTGATGGCACAGATGGTCTTTCCAGGGTGACGAACATGACCCAGAAGTCGCAGAAGTGGCTGCACCAGCTCACTGCTGTGCTGGAACATTGAGTCGTACGTTTTAAAAGGGTGGCCCGGATGGTACATGAATTCCATCCCAATAAGGCAGTTATGGAAGCGAGGAAGAGCGCTGAGCGCCCGGCCCTGACAGCCCTCCCTGAGCGCTGGGCCCTGGGCCTGCGGTTTGCTCCACGCAGCCGTCGGGGCTCCCTGCATCTCCTGAGGGCAATTTTGTTTTCTGATCTATGCGATTGGTCTCGTTGGCACAAAAGCACGCTGTTTGTCCTGTGCTGACAAAGCTGGTCTCTCTGCCCGCTGCTCTCCCCGGCCTGCTGCGTTCGCGGCTCCCCTTTTGTGGCAGGATTCCTGGAAAGAGCTGTCCACTCACCTCACTCTCCACTGCACCCATGTCCCCAGGTTGCCTGTGACATCTGCGTGGCTCAATCCAGTCTCCCATCCTGAGCCGCCCTCGTCTCAGCTGAGGGGTGGACGTCCGTCCTTCCACTCACTCGGGCCAACAACTGGAGAACCCCTGGACCCCTCACCCCATGTCCAATCTGCTCAGAAATCTGGACAGCCCCAATTCCGAGCATGTTCAGAACCTGAGCACTTCTCACCACCCGGCTGCCACCGCCAGGGCCCAGCCACGTCCCCTCAGCAGGCCACTGCGGACTCCTTCTGTCTCCCCACTTCTGCCCTTGTGCCCCCAGAGTCCATTCACCTTGCGGTGGCTAGACTGACCCTTTCAAGTCTAAGGTCAGATCATGGGCCCCATAGACCCTCCAAAGGCTCCGACCGCAGAGTAAAACAGACCCTTCCCACTGCCCGGGGGCCTTCCTGATGTGTGCTTGCCCCCTGCCACCCCCTCCAGCTCTCCCTCGCTTCACTCCAGCCTCCTCGGGCTTCTGTGGAGCCAACCCTCTGCTGGAAGGCTGCTCATATCTCACCCTGAGCACTTTCTCCTGCAGCCTCTTGCCTCCTCTGCTCTCACAAGTTCTCCCTCTCTCTGTTTTCTTAGCCTCCTCTACTTTGTCCCATGGCCCTTATGACCTTCTGTCACACAAGGCTTGTAATTTTATCATCAGTTTGGTTTTTTTCTCTTCACTCCCAGTACATATGCTCCATAAGGACACGGATGTTTGGTTTGTTTCATAAGGTCAGGCACACAGTAGGTGCTCACTATTTGTTGAATGTTGATTGACTAAAGAAAATCAGCTGAGATGAATTGTGGTGAGAACCAGAAGACATTTTAAAAGAATCAACTGGAACTTTCAGAGACGATAAACCCTGAGCAGGATAAACGCAAAGAAAACCACCCAAGGCACATAATCAAATTGAGGAAAACTGGTAACAAAGAAAAATCTTAAAAGCAGTTGGAGAGAAGAGGTGAATTACAAACAGATACAAACGTTAGAGAACAAGAGATTTCTGGGCTGAAACAATGCAAGCTTGAAGACAATGGAACAAAATCTTCAAAGTAGTAAAAGAAACAACACTGTCAACCTAGAACTGTGTGCAGTGAAAGATCGTTCCAAACTAAACTAGGGTGAAATAAAACCATTATCAGACAAATAAAAGCTGAGTGAGTTCACAGCCAGCAGGTCTGCAGTGGAGACGCTAAGGGTGTTCAGATGAGAGGAGAGTGTCAGTAGGTGCAAACTCAATTTATGAAAGGAAGGAAGGGTGTCAAAATGGTAGGCATGTAACATCGATTTTATTTTAAATTTCTTTTCTAAATCATTGACTGCATAAAGAAAATATAGTAACAAGGTATCGTAGGGTGTAGGACTTCTGTGGGAGAAAAGTATACGATGACAGTAGCTCAGAGAATGGGGGAGAAATGGTGGTGTGTGCTCTAAGATTCTCCTTTTTCCATGGAGTGGTAGGATGATGTTTGAAGGTACTTGTGATAAAGACGTACACTGAACCACAAATAAGGAGGTATAGCTGAAAAGTCCACAAAGATGAAATGGAGTCATTTGAAAATACTCAGCCCAGAAGAAGGCAAGTGAAGATGGAGAAGGGATGAAGAGCAAGTGGGACAGCTGGAACTCAAGGGCAAGGTGCCCGATGTAACCACGACCATCACAGCTGAGGAAAAGGCAGCGATTGTCCGACTGGATTAAGAGACCCAGCTACGCCATCTACAAGAAACACACTTCAAACTTAAGATTTGAGTTACAAGTAAAAAGATCAAGAAAGATACCATGTGCACACGCTAAGGGCAAGAGCTGGAATGCTGTGTTCACTTCAGACAAAGCAGATTTTATAAAAGGAAATGTTACCAGAGATGGGCATTTCCAAATGGAAAAGGGGTGGGTCCTTTAAAGACGCTAATCCTAAAGGTGCTCATGCCTGATAACAGAAAC